ATGTGGTAGTAATGAGCTGCATGAGAGACCGATCATGCATTTTCCAAATCTTATACTCATCACTATCAACTCTCGAAGTAGAATCACTAGAAGATACAATGGAATCACTCTAATGCTAAGTATCAAATCTCGAAGGACAAGGATTTGTACCATCCACAATACCCATAATACCATGTCCTTCTAAAATGAGCTCCATCTGAAAATGCCATGTGAGATAGTTGGATTCGTCAAGTTTCATAGAGACAGAAGATGAAACTGATGAAATCAAAGAAGTAACTGGGGATTGAAGGATCTTTAATTGCGTAATAGTCACCATGATCGAATACCAATCAAGTATTTGAAGAAAGATTCTTTGAGGTATGAGATCAAACACCTTAGGTACAAGATTATGAGCACCGCGAAACAAAGAAGAAGAGGGTAATTAGAACTCGAAATTGAGTAGCAGAGCGGAAGCAAAAGCTCCAAGATCAACAAATTGTCAAGCACGAAGCTCTTTTGGAGAATGATACCATGTAAATGTAGCAGCAATGGTGAAGAATTGTATTCTTGCAGAAAAAGAAAGAGTGTTTGAATAAAGAGAGAGAGAGAGAGAGAGAGAGAGAGAGAGAGAGAGAGAGAGAGAGAGAGAGAAGGAAGCTTTCCATTAACTGTTTTTCTTAACAGATTACATTGGCAGTTACCAAAGGTATATATATATACCTAACAAGGTTGCTTACTCCTTAAGTTATTACAAGGATTACAAGATGCTTACACTTGTCACAATTACACCCATAAGACCACAAGTTGTTAAGTTTGATACACTATTGTCAACAAGCACTTGTTTTTTCATATTCATTGGGTTCGTGGTTTAGGTTCTAGAACATCATGTAAACGAAGAATTTTGCAGGCCTCCACATCACCAAACTGGCACAAGCTTTTGGTTTGGCTAAATAGCCAAAATGGTCCCTAAGATTTGCATAACTCATCACTTTGGTTCCTGAGATTGAAAATCAATAGAAATGGTCCCTGAGATTGTCCACCATCCATCATTTTGGTCCTTCGGTTAAAAACTCTTTAGGCAATTTTCAAAGCTTCGTAACTCAATCGTTTCTTAACCAAATTCAACCCATAATATATCAAAATGAAGATAGGAAAGTGTAGAATAAGATTATATCTATTTGGAAGCCCAATGGTTGCTGAAGATGGCCGGAAAATAGCCTCAAAACTGACTAGTCCGCGAGAAAATTGGAAAACTCGCCGAAAACTGGGTAAACTTTTAACGCTCATACTTCTTCAATACTCAACGAAATCAAGTGATTAAACAACCAAAATCATACTTCTAGATGATAAAAAGATAATGGTATCTTTCTCGACGGCTAGCTCGCCGTGATATGGCCGGAAAACGGCTTGAAATTGGCTAACTCGAAAATACTTAGCCACTTTCGAGCTGTTTTCCGACCAAACCATGGTGAATTAGCAGTCAAGAAAGGTCATTATCTTCATCTCATTGAGAAGTATGAATTTATTTTTTAATCACTCGATTTCGTTGAGTATTGAAGAAGTTATGAACGTTTAAAGTTTACCCCATTTCCAACGAGTTTTCCAGTTTTCTCACAGACCAGTCACCTTTGAGGCTATTTTCCAGCCATATCTGGCAACCATTGGGCTTCCAAATGGTATAATCTTGTTTTACACTTTCCTATCTTCATTTTGATATATTATAGGTCGAATTTGGTTAAGAAACGATTGAGTTACGAAGCTTTGAAAATTACCCAAGGAGTTTTTAACCGAATGACCAAAATGATGGATGGTGGACAATCTCAAGGACCATTTCTATTGATTTTCAATCTCAGAGACCAAAGTGATGAGTTATGCAAATCTCAATGACCATTTTGGCTATTTTGCCTTTTAGTTTTCCTTCTCAACCATGGTTTTTGCACACCGTAAGTTTAATAAGTTGGAAAGTATATGCTCTAGCTCTATCACGTATTTCATGACTATAAATCCATTCCTTTTTTTCTTCTGGATTTTTGTAACAGGAGAGAGTAGTGAGCAACTTAGCTAGGTTTATGGTGACCGTATGGTGCTTTGTTGTCCTCGTACTGATTCAAAGTTACACTGCCAGTTTACAATCACTGCTAACAGTTCAACTGCTCCAACCGCTCCAACTAGACCTGACGAAAGGGGTTGGCTACCAAGAAGGTACAACTTTTTGAGCAAGGGATTGTTCCTGCTACTTTCGATGAAAAGCCTTTCGTCGAGCTTTTTCTTTCAACTTATTGTTCAAATATACTTCGGTTTGCCAAAAGATATTTTCACCGGGCAGTTTTGCGTTCGCAAGTTTACTTGCTTCTTTCTCCCATACCTTTGTTATTATTTTACATAAAACAAATCTGGCCATATTTTGTTGGAGAATAGAGTCTTAACATTGGAGATATAACAAAATAGTATTTAGTTTATATGTGGGAGGTTCACCGCTAATGTACCGAAACTTTTTGTGACAAGACTCAACACTTACTAGTAGTAATAGGTGGGTTATTTGGGGATATCTTCTCCTATATCATTGCAGACTCATTTACCAATAACTCGAACTTGGAACCTTTTACTTGCTAATGACATAACTTTTACTTTCTCTGTTCCTCTTGATTTCGTGACTTACAGGCCTTCCCAAAGAATTCACCTCTCACGAGTGATGTTTCAAACGCGATCATTGCATCGCAAGACAAAATTAAACGTATACAAGACAAGTGGTTTTTTTAACAAATCAAGTTATGTTGATCCCGACAGTAACACAAGCTCTTCTAACAATCTTACTCTTAGCATTGACAGCTTTGGGGGCCTCCTCCTCATTGCTTGGGTTTCTTCATCCTTAGCTCTCCTCGTATATGCAGCTATGTTCCTCTATGAGCATGGACACATCTTGATGCGCTCCGATCCAAACGCCTCATTTCGGACAAAAATTAGCGAGATATTGAAGGCGTTCAACCAAAAAGGCCTCAATCTGCATACTATCAGGAATACTGGCAGGGCGGCCCTGAGGGTAGCCCAAGTAGGTGCCCGACTAGGGCTCCCACTTCGGAAGGGCCCCCATAAAAAATTTATATCCTATAATTAACAAATAAATATAAAAATAAAGTAAGAAATATCATATTTCATTTGTTAGTACAGTGAAAATTTTGGCTTCATTTTTCTTTGGGGTGTTTAAGTTCGAAACACGAAGCCGCCTTTCAGTAACTAGATTTTTCTTGATTTTTTTTGTTTTTTAAATTTACTACCAATTCATCTGTCCAAATGCATATAAAGTTATAAAACTCAAGTCTCTTTGCAATCTTTTTTCTTTCAACTTCTCATTCTCTCAATTTATATCAAATGTTTAAACCAACTTCTCATTCTCTCCATTTCTATTGAATGTTTAAAGCAACTATCATATGGTCTTAAAGATTGTGCTTAAGGTAATCAAAACTTTGAATTTATATTTTTCTTTTCAATAACTTTTTATTCAATGGATTATTTTAATATTTAATTCGTTAGTGTGATATTAATTTTAGAAGAAAAAAACAACACAAGAGAAACAATTAGTGTTGAATTTATTATACTCGCCAATCAAGTTTTATTGTTATTTACTCTCTTGATTATCAAGTTTATTGTTCTTCACTCTCAATCTTAGACTTTTGACTGCAAACATTTAATACATTTGTGTCCAAAAATGTGAATCGTGTAATGTTTAAATAATGTTTGTATATTTATCTTCTTTTGATATTAATTTTTAATGATATTTGATGTGAAAATAAAACTTTTTATGTATTTAGCGAATTCTTTTTATACAAATCAATATACAAAGAACCAGAAATCAGAGAATTTTAGAGCCCCACTTCAAGGGCTCGCCTAGGACCTCAAATTCTCAGGACCGACCCTGAATACTGGCGTGCAAAATGGAAGTGATCACGGTATTGGTGTAGTTGAATCCTCACCAAACATCGTGACGGATTGCTCCCCGAGGCCATCCAGTGATTCGATACATGCTGAACCATCACACAGCGTTTTAGAAATGCAAGAAACGCATTCTACAGCGCATGGAAATTTGAATCCCGATGGTCAAGCAACCCAAGAGTGATGACATATAGAGCTTAGATACATGATGTACTAGAATTAATTTAACAAGAGTTGCCCTTGAAAATTTAAATTATCGGATTGTGTAAGATAATATAAATGCACTTTATTTGTATACTCAATGGGTGTTGTGGTTTACGATTAGGATAATGCAGAAATTAGGTTTGTATTACTTATTTCATTTTGTGTATTATTTGGGTTTGGATTTGACTTATTGGTTGGATTTCTTGCTTGGTTGAGAGATTTTGTTAATTACTTATTTGATTAAGATTTGAATTTACTTCCAATTAGGATTAGGATTCTTATTGTAACCTAAGTCCTATACACTATAAATAGGACCTTATGGATAGTCTATTTTTTGTGCCGTCACATGGTTTAGAGACTTTTCTCTAATTCGGTTTCAGGGTGGAGGTCGCCGTTTGGAATCATGAGTGCGTGGCAAACTCATGGCTCATTCTTTTGTCAATTTGTGAGAATCAATTTATGAGTTAGAGAACAATTTGGGAGAATCTTCTCCGTTTGTTTTGGGTTCTCTACTCATTGGTTTAGGGATTGTAATTTGTGAGATTTAGGTTGTTAGAGTTACACGCTCTTTTGTTATCTCCATTTGTTTAGTGAAATTCTTTGATGTGCTTCGCTCGTGGACGTAGACTTTACATTGAACCACTTAATCTCGTATGTTCTTATTTTGAGATTGTTTGTTTTTTCGCTTTTGCTAATGACTGATATTTGACATTTTTGTTAGAATTCGTTTCTGCTTGCGCATAAAAGTACAACAATGGGCCATGGGCAACAAATTCTGAAAAGAAAGACAAACACTATTAAAGCTACAGTGAAGGAAGAAATGAAGGCCCTGCTTGATAACTTTTTCGTTTTAGTTTTCACTTTTCGAGTCACAATAGCTCTTACGAAACATAATCTTTAATCCATTGAACGAAACTGAAGATTCATGATCTCTCCACTTGGGATGTATTCCAGATCGAGTTCAGTAAGTATGAAGTAATTTCGGTTATATGCTATATGATAACAAAATTAACTCAGTATAATATACGAAAAAGCTAATGGCTTTAGCCAATTTTGCTTAAAGACTTGAAATTGTCTTGATATTTGCCTCTCGTTATTCACAGCTCTGTTTTAAGTATTCTCAATACTTTCATAACGCAGAAAACCAACAGGTATATACACATCTCGAGTCCACTCGTTTGACGCTTAAGCAGACCACACCTCACGAAGGAGTTCATACCTCGCATTCGTGCAGGCATGACCTGCATGCTCATGTTTTCCGCTTCCATTTCCATTTGCTATGATAGTCGGAGTTAACGGTAATTTGTCGATGATGGATGAAAGAGGTGAATCCAACTCCTCTAGCTCTTCATCGCTGGTATATCCCTTTCTCTGTACAGCTGAGACGTCCCTTTCCAGTTGAGAACTTCCTCCTGCTTCTGAAACTTTTTCTGCCACATCAGCCGACGAAGGTGGGGTGTACACAACTGGTGCTGCTGTGTAAGGGAAGCTTCTTGCCGATTCACCTGACAATCTGCGCTCCACAATGCTCTGAGGAAATGATGAAAGGATACGTCAAAACTTTAACATTACTAATTTTGTTTTTTGCAGACTAGAACCTACAGATTTTGGTTCATTTCACATTTCATGTTAAACAGAAGATCCTTCAAAAAAAGTTCACGATAAAACGGTTGTTAAATGCTTAAAACCCTTACAGTTGTAGTTGCACGAACACATCTAGGCCATGGAACATCAAAAATGAATAAAAGCAAGTATACCTCGGCATTCAGTGCCTCCAATACAGCTCCTGGCACAGCATCCGGACAGAACTCATCTGGAGTGAAGTTACAAAGTATCCGCTTAACTAATGGAAGACTAATTGATGGGCAGACCTAGTAAACATGAAAGGAAACAAATTTAATCAGCCCAAAAGGAGAGGAGAAAACAATGACGACAGAAAATTCAGACAGGTTAGGACAGTCGGACTAAAACCAAAGCCATTTCCTTTCCATATATAAAGGCACTGAAATTACAAAAACTAACCTCCTTTCTGATTCTCGTATCAATAAGCAAGTCTTTCGGAAGCATCAAAAGATCACTCAAGGCATTCAGAAGAAGGAAGGATTTAGATTCACCATCGCCAATCTGCCTGTCATCATCCTCACCATCAGGGTGGTCTTCTTGCAGGGAATCATCATCATCCATGTCAAACAAATCACGTAGCCATCTAGACCAATTTCCAACCTGCACGACATGCAGCCTCCTCGTTATTTAAATCTTGCAATCACATTTTGTTTTTCAAATAACACCCAAGGATGTAAAAGTATTATGAGGAAGGTAATTCAAGCAAATGGTCAAGACGATGTTCACATGTACGGTTTTACGAGTAACTTGTTAGCTGTCTAAACCCCAACTAGTGGTTACGGGCACTAGGGGTTAAGAATCCTTTGGAAGATACTTTCACAAACTATGTGAACCTTTGAAAGGTAAATACTTCTTTCTGGTATAAACAAAAGTAAAAGAACAAGAAAAAATGAGATACATACGGAATTTTTGAGTTGTGCACCAGACCCAAAACTCAAGTCGCCAGCGGGAATAGGTAAAACCCTGGAATCAAGAATAGGATCCGATACTGGATCAGTAGGGATCTCATGGGCAGACTCACGCAGGATAGCATTGAACATTGCCACATCTAGCCTTGCAACACAGTGTTGCATAACCTAACCAGAAAACCACATCGAATTAAACCTCCATAGCATAAGGAAAGCTCATACAGTTGTTCTGTGAAGAATAAATGAAGATGAGAAACTTTGGTGGCTGAAATTAAATTCCAATGCCTGTGATGAAGAAACTTTAAACTGCAGAGGGATCTTTAGATAGATATTCAAGAATTCCATACCATTCTTGCCAAAACAGGTAAGCAGCCACATTTATGCCCTCCTGCTCGAACAGGACAGAGTCGTTGAGAAGCATCCTGAAAAGCATTTTTCCATAGGTTGACAGAAAAGCTACCTTGCTTCTGATCACCCAGTGCAGGTCCCAACAACCTTACAGACATCTTATTTGTGGATGAATTCTCAGCTGGAGATTGCATATTTGGAGTCAAAGCCTAAAAAGATAAGACTCTGGTCAGCAAACCGTAAAATCACATCAAAGCTACTCCAAATTCACATGTTTGGTGATAATTTAATTTTCAATCAAAACTAACAATTATCATTCAGTCTAAATAAGTTCATGTCTACACCTCAGGCAAAAAATGGCCTTAGACATGTAACTTGTCCATCAACCAAAATGATTGTCGTGATGTAGGGACCCAGGCCACCTTTAACATGTTAAAAGAAAGAATGAGAGGTTCTTTGTTTGTGTAGGTGTACCTGCCACCATACTGACTCAACGATCCGAGAGAAAATCCAGAATTCAACTTTTTCCAATGCAGCAGTGAAGGTTCCTGTCTCTTGCCAGTCATCAGCAAACTGCATAAAACCGTTCATTTGTTTATTACTGGAACTACCCCTCCATTTCAGTGTCGCAGACTTCACTTCATTTCTCTTGCTAGTCCCATTTGACTCCACAAACTTAACCGAAGGACTTGACTTGCTTGAAATGTCAAATGCTTGAGATATGATCTCCCTTAGCACGACAGTGTTTGATAACCAGAAGGTCAACCTTAACATACAAATGGAAAAAATGAACATCAGTTCCCAGTAATTAAGAGCATTTGTAACACTATGAACTATAACGTGATAAGTTTTACCTGGGGACATCATTGCCACAGGACTTTGCTATCAAAACAAGCCCTGATACAGTGTTCTTAGCAATTGTGGCTCGCTTGCCCTGAGTCCAATGCTTGCAAGCATGGATATAAAGTCTAGAAATGCGACGAGCCGGCGTGTGAACTTTATGCACAGAGCTCCCATGCTCTGGTACAACAGAGTAGAGGGAAATTTCAAGTACAGCAATTTCTCGCAGCTCTTCCTCAAGTTTCTCAATTCTCATTTCCATTTCGTCAATCTTTCGTTCCAAGGCTGTTTCAATCTCTTGTTCGCCATTTTCTTCAGCGTCTACTATTTCATGGTCACTTTCCACACTCTGAGCACCATTTGAGGCCCCATCAAGGATATCAGTTCCTCTTACCTCTTTAATAGGCTTATCGTCAACCTCCTCAACTGATTCTGAGGAAGGTTTAATGGGAACTTCGCTATCACTAGAACCGTTTCTGGTTTTAACTCCTGAAGGTCCATTATTCGAATTAGTGACTTTGTTGGCAGTGTGATGCAATCCTTTTGATCTTGACTTAACAGATTCACTACGAGACCCCTCCCTGTCCCTTGATCCAGGAGAGCTTTCTGAGGAATTCTTTTTTACAACAATTTTGGGTACCCTTGATACCCTTTCTACTTGCTCATCCTCATGGGTAGGTGAATCCCCTTGAGATGACATGGAATCCTTTGTTGTCTCGCAATCTGACACCTCGTCGTCAATATTCTCTTTGGAAGTCATTGGATTGGCATTCAGAGCTTGAGGCACCTCCTTAAACCTGTTGACATCATCCACATAATGATAACCAAGTTTTCGTTAACTTGAGAGAGCTCTGTGCCCGTGTTTGAATCACTTACTAACGTACTGGGGCTGGTCTAGCATAAGAGACTTTAGATTCTCTATCTTTTCCATTCAATGTCTTAGCGGTATTCCCTTGATTCGGCTTGTTGTCTCTCATTTCTGTTCTTCCAGTCCGCTTGGTGTTTTTAGTATTTGGGGTTTTCCTTTTGTCGATCTCTTTCATGGTTAACAAGGTTTAGTTCCTCCAGCCACAGCAATCAAATGAAAAGACTGTTACATGGAAGAAAACACAATAATCAACAACATACCAAAGCCCTTCTTCTAATTACTCTCTGTGTGACGGCTGGAAAACGGAAAACCAGCAATACATGCATAAAGCAAGCAAGGGGATTACAATTACATCTTATGCAGTGACTTCTTTAAGATTTCATTAACCAGAAACGTTGCACTGGACTTTCCAAATTATTTTCAGTCAGCCTGCAAAAAAGACATCGATATTGGTCATCAAACGGAGACTTTTACGCATTTTCCACGCAACAAAATCAAAACGGCGCTACAGTGAGCGCACTGGGTGCATCACACAAAATGCAAAGAAGAGCAAGCTTATGACTACTCTTTTCAAAGCTCGCTGCAGTCACACAGCCTTACGTTCATTTCTCAACTCCAAAAGGATAGACAAAAAATCAAGCACAAGGGCCAAACAAAGTTTGTTTACTCGTTGCAAGCGACTCGTAGCTCAAGTAATTAAGAAACACACATTCCTCTGTACTAGATTCGGTTCCCCTTTCCCAAATATCTCTCGTATCAAAATCAAATTTTGTTTACGCACCCAAAAAGAAAAAAATATATATCTATTCATTCCCAAAGCATAACTCACAATAATTGCCTATATATGCCCACCTGATGACGTGGCCGGATCCTGATCGTAGAATGTAAAATAGCGTGAAGTTTCGGTAGAGTGAAAAGAAACGGACAGCCACTTACCAGAAACATGAAAGGAGAAGATCCAACGCAATGTCGCAATCCGAGCGCAAAACGACGCCGAACTGAACCAACCAAACACCCGCGGAAGTCTCTCCGCCAGCCGGGACTGCACCAAACGCAAAAATAGAAAAACGACACGAAAGAGTGAGGAAATGCCAGAATTGAAGAACTCGAATTCCAGAACCAAAACGACGTTAGAATCTATAACCTTAAAAGAAAACGACAAGAGCTCGGTAAAAGCTTTAGTCTTTAGAATTCAGATCAGAAGATTCGGAACAATCTAAACGACGCGTTTTGGGGGTCGTGCCGTCTCCATCCGCCGGAAAAGGCCAGCAATGAGCACTAAAAAGAGTAACTGACAGTAAAAAGTTGTACGTACCGAAGCTTTTTTCTGCTCTGGGAGCTCCGGGATTATCAATAATTCCACGCCAATTAAGAGCGCTGAGTTAATGGGGTGTTTAATTTTGTGTGGAATGTTTTAGGGGAGGGAAGGTGGTGTTTAAAATGGAAGGGTGTGACTGTGCCAAGGGTACGGACATGGGGTAGTGGGTGACCGGGAGAGAGGTTGTCGGTGGGCGTTGGGTGACCAGGTAGTACCGGTTAAAGGGTTGCGCGTTGTGGAGTGTAAGGATTCGTTTGGAAAATGTTTTTAAATGATTGAAAGTGTATTTAAAGAAAATGTTTATGAAAATAATCCTTAATAAACATGTAAGTTAATCATAAACAAACACTTAAAGTATTTCTTGCAAAAAGCATAAGTTACGTGCTTATTGCAGGAAAGCACTTTAAGTGCTTTTGAAACTCGAAAATATTTTTTATAAAAGAGCTTTCAATCATTTAAAAGCACTTAACCAACAAACCCTAAGTATGACAATACGGAACTGCCATCGTTGTTTTTGTTGAATTACATTTACCCGATCGTGAAGTGGTAGTGGGATTTGGAACGAAAAAAATATTGTTAATCACCGGTAGAGGGGAGAGGGAGCTGGGGTTTGAATGGAAAAAAATTTCAATGTGTTCAGGACACAATTTGGTATACTAATTTATAATATAAGTTGTTGGACACTTTAAAAATAATGTTTCAACCACTTGTATTATGATATTTGTGACATATTAACGTAAGGGTAATTGGAATAAAAAAGCAAACGAAATTGAATTCCGATTACGAAATCCCGGTGTTTACCAAATATTTGGAAATAAAAAATTTATTGGGACCCACACAATTTTGGAATCCAACTCCAAATTTTGATGGAATTGAATCCCCTACAATTAGATGTTAATTGCATTTCAATTTATTGAGGGATCAGAATGAATTTTTCCTTCTCATTACACGCTCACAAAAGTTTTACAAAAATAAAACTAAAATTTATATGATTCAGTACTATTGCTACTTTGATTCTTAAAATTTTAGTAAATAGTTTTAATAGGAATCTGATTTTGATTATACCATATTTCAGCTTCTCTTCAATTCAGTTTCTTTTATTTTAAATACGGATTAGTAAACGAGTCTTTGGTCCACTAAACCGTATTCTTAATACACTAAAAAAATTCTTATTTGAATGAGCCATGATTGATGATTGTATGTGATTGGATGTGATGTGTCCTCTTTTATTTGTTAGAACATGAGGAGTGAGTGCGGATCGATTTCGATTCAATAGTAAATCTGATGTGATATTAGGAGACTATAAATTACTTGAAACCTCAAACTTCTAGTCTAATGCGATGTTGAAAGTCTTGTTTCTTAATTTGGAAAAGAAGTATTTAGGGTTCATTTGAAAACATATTTTAAAACGATTAAAAGTGTTTTTTGATAGAATGTTTTCGAGTTTGAATGTGTTTTTTGTAAGAATCACTTCAAGTGTTTTTTTAAGATTAATTTGCATTTTTACTCAGAATTGGTTTCAAAAATATTTTCTTTAAGAAAAGCGTTTTTAATCATTTAAAAGTACTTCCCTAATTAATCTCCATAAGTAGGGAATAGGTTGACAAAATAAGATAGGGTGGTATTTTTTATAAACAATGATATATTTACATTACAAGTGGAAAATAAATTAACATCAAACTCGTTGTACATGAAATTCAAACTTAAGATTTTTCACTTATAAATGAAAAGAATAACACTAAATTATTATATTAAGTATTTTACCATTCATATCTCCACCACATTGACGGTCTTCAACATTTGCAAGTATGTTTTCAAACATATTAAATGAGCAAAATTACATTATAAAATAATACCAAGAAATTATAAATTAAACTAGACGAGACGAATGCAAAATCGAAGAGGTTTTGAGTTGACTAGTTTATTGCTATAGAGATATTTTGGGTCACTCAAACCACTAATATAAATGGCTCGTTCAAAATTGTTTTTAAAATGATTGAAAACGCTTTTAATAAAAATATTTTTGAAATTAATTCTTAGTAAAAATTCAAGTGAATCTTAAAAAAAAAAAAAAATTAAATGCTTCCTACCAAAAAAAAAAACACTTATTTAGTGTTTCTAACACCGTTTTTTTTTTTTTTTTTATCACCTTCTCACATAAATTCTGCACACACAAAAAAAAAAAAAAAAAAAAAAGAACCATTCCTTTCCCAGCTTAGAAGAATGGTAAGACTACTTTCTATCCACAAACTGGACCACATCGACAAGAAATTTTTTAATATGGCCAAAATACGGGATAGAACACTATATATATCATTATGCAATGAGTTTTTATCACAAATGATCTTTAAGATTGATCAAACTCGTCATTTTGATCCCTCATTTTCAAAATCAATCAATGTCGTCCCTAACATTCACTATCGCACATCAATTTGGTCATTCCGTTAAGATTCCGTCAACTATTCCGTTAGTTTGTATGTGGGACCCACAAATCCAATGAGATGGTGACACGTAGATTACACAAAATAAGGGTTTTTATCATAAATGGTCCTTAACATTAATCCAACTCCTCATTTTGGTCCCTGAGTTTCAAAAATCGATAAATTTGATCCTTGACTTTCAATACCGCACATTAATTTAATCATTCCATTAAAGTTTCGTCAATATTTTTTGCCTCACTAATCCAATCATATGGTGTCATGTGGATTAACTATAAATAAACTATTTTTTTAAGATTTAAAACTAAAAGTAAAATAAGAAACTAAAAACCAAAACTAAAAGAAAAAATAAAGTCATCATCATCTTCATCAGGGTATGCTCAAAAAGAAAAGGAAGGCACCATGACACCATTAAACTGTTTGGCCTCTTGAACTACTCCTCATTCTCTCTAGTTGGTTATAATCCTATCAAGTTTGAATTGAATTTGGATTCGATTTTATCCAATTTAGATTGATTTTTTTTCCAATTGGGGTTGTGAGATGTGAGAAAAATGTCAGCACAGAATACTCGTCCGTTAGTTCACTCTTAAAAAAAAAAAAAGTTTCTTATAGTTTATCCATATGGAGCCATATGATTGGATTAATGGGACCACATCAACACACAAACGAAAAAATATTGATGAAATTTTAACCGAGGACTAAATTGATGTGCGGTAGTTTAAGTTAAGGACCAAATTTATCGATTTTTGAAACTCAAGGATCAAAATGAGGAGTTGGATCAATGTTAGGGATCATTTGTGATAAAAATCCTTATTTTGCGTAATCCAAGTGTCACCATTTCATTGGATTTGTGAGTCCCATATACAAACTAACAAAATCTTAACGGAATGACTAAATTGATGTGAGGTAGTGAATGTCAGGAATGACATTGATTGATTTTGAAAGTGAGGGACCAAAATAATGAGTTTGATCAATATCACGAACCATGTCGGATAAAAATCCTTATGCAATTGGAGAAAAGTGTTTTTCTTTTTTCAAGTGGTGTTCTTGCAAAAAACACATATTTGGTGCTTCTTCCAAAAAGCACCATTTTGTTATCACCTTCTTGCATAAATTCTACGCAAAAAAAAAAAAAAAAGGAACCGTTCCTTTCCCAGCTTAGAAGAATGGTAGCACTACTTTTCGGTCCATGGACCGGACAACATTGACGAAAGATTTTTTAGTATGACCAAAATACGAGATAGAACACTATATATCATTATGCAATTAGAGAAAAATGTGTTTTTTTTTTTCCAAGTGTTCCTTCAATTGCATAATGACACGTGTTCGTCTTGTATTCTGAACACACTTGAAAAATATCTCCACATCCACATCTACACAAAACAAAAGGAAGGGTTTCATAGAAATATAATATATATATATATATATATATATTGTCACCTTATTAAGCAGTGGTTGAGTTGGGGTCTAGTCCAATTTGGGTGCATACATATATAATTTTTTAGGTCCTACAAAATCTGTTTCTTTCCCTAAATAATCAGTGTGGTGAGATTAGTATTTATATCAACATGCTTACTTCTCTCAATTATTGGGTGGAATTGCTAAGAAGCCCCAACTAATCCTTAAATCACATCAGCATTATTGCTTTATACTATGTCATTTGAAGTTTGTCTTTGTTGTTTTATTTTTATTTTTTATTTTTTTGTTATAATTACTTGGTTCAAGTCATCGCAACCTAAGTTTATATTATTTGAAAATGTCATTAAAGTTTTTAGGTTAGAAATGGATGTTTCGAAACAGGGTCTCCAATATAGTAATTTTTTCGAAAAAAAAGATACCGCTAGACAAACATCGTGACATCATCATTAAACTTGCATGTGTTGATTCCGAACGAAGAAGGATGATTCTCTATCTTCCTATTCACATCTCCTTCTATCCCCTCCTCTTACATATTAATTTTTGTCTTATTATGACTATAAAAAAAAATCAATATAAGATGTTGACGTGATTTAACCGTGACCGTTCAAATAGAAGGGCATGAAAGGATAGAGAGATTAGGAAGGTACAGAATCCTCCTCCTCAAATGAAATCTTGCACAGGATGATTTTCCAAATTTATTAAATAATGGATCAAATCAAATATTTATTTATTTTTCCTTCAAATCAAATCCGTTCCTACACATCCACACTAATTAATCTGATCACAGAGTTAAACCTGAAGTTCATTAGAATATACAGACCTTTTATCTAAAGGAAATCCCTTTCTTTGTTTTTTTTTTTTTTTTTATTTATAAAAATAAGGATTAGTTGTAGAATCTACACCACATCAAACTTTAATGATCGAAATCGTTTCTTTTTCAAGTTGCACCTCATAGATCATCCTTGCAAAATATTAACTAAATCAAAAATATTTGCGGTATCTAATTGAGTTAAAAGAAATTGACGAACACTTAGTTTTCTAAGAAACATTGTAATTTCATTATAATAATTAAATAGACAAATAGTTTCAGATCGAATTAAATTTTTTTCAAGAATGTTGTATGAATCGATACTTACAAAATAGACAATTCAGATCGTTGAAATGCGTTGTGAGTGAGTACCACAATCAATCTTCATTTTTAAATAAAAAATGAAATCCCTTTA